CTGCCCGGCTCTGGCTGGGGAATGCCAGCCCCAGCCCCAGTCCCTCCCTCACTGCAGAAGGCGTTGATCTGCGCCCCCATGCCCCTTCCCTTCCCCCTCACCTTCCACCACTTACCAGCTGCATGCAGTATCATTCCGAAGTAAAGGCGAAACCCACATCGAAACGAGGTGTGAATTTGTAAACATTGTAAGTGACGTTTGTCACAACTCGAAAAGTCATAAGTCAAGGACTGCCTGTATATGACATCAACCGCGTCTCCCACATCTAAGTGGTTCATTACTTGATCATAGAAGGAGATGAGGTTGGTCAGACACAACCTGCCCACAATGAGGCCATGTTCGTTATTCTTCAACTTCATGCCTTCTGCCAGTCTCTCACAAATGGACTTGATAATTGTTTTCCAAACTTTTACATGTTATTGAGGTTAAACTGACTGGACTGGACTATAGCTTTCCAGATCCTCCCTCCTCCCTTTCTTAAAGATTGGCACCACACTGGCTCTTTTCCAGTCTTCTGGGATCTTTCCCAAGCACAATGAGTCTTCAAATACCTTTGCCAATGGTCCTGCAGTGACTCCAGCCAGTTCCCTCAGCACTTTCCAGTGTAGTTCATCTAGTCCTGCTGACCTGAAGACATGCAGTTGCTCTAAGTGCTCCCTCACTGGTTTGACACTGACCATTGGTTGGCAATCACCCCTCCTCCCCCCCCTTGCATCCATCCAGTATCTGACTATGTGGGCAAACACCATTTGCATGCAGGAACACTGACGCAAAGTATTCATTAAAGACTTCAGCTTTCTCCTGACTGTCTGTTATCAGCTGTCCTGTCCCATTCTGCAGGGGCTCCACATTTCCCTTGGTCTTCTTCCTGCTCCCTGTATACCTAAAGAAGGACTTCTTAATGTCTTTGATTTTGGTCTCCAACCTCATCTTGGTCACCACCCTTGCCTTCCTTATCCTCTCCCTACAAATATGAGCTATACTTGTGTATTTCTCCTTGGCAACTACCTCTTGTTTCCACTGTCCATAAGCCTCTTTTTCTTTTTTAAGCACTCCTTGGCTTCTCTGGTAAGCAGCAGAGGACACATCAGTAAGCAGCCAATATGTCCATGTAACAAAATTCTGATGGACCTTATCAAACTGTAAGCCTGGAACAATTGGAAACCATTTATCTCTTTGGATACCATCTTCAGTGTTGGGCTGGATCAGATCCCATAAACAAACTCATCATTGAATAGGAAATTAAAATATGGCTTTGACAATGTGCAGGCTTTCCATGAAGAAACATAAGGGGAAGCACATGTGGTCTTCTGTTGAACACGAAGGGAATGTTACATTTCTAGTTGCTAAATAATCATTGAGACTTGGGAGAAAAAAATGAGAATTTCAGCCACTGACAATGGCCTTTGCTAACTAGCCAAATCTTTAAACCACAACTCCTGCACAAATGAGATTATGTCGAAGGAAAGCAAACCTCTTGTTTCTGGCAGATCAGATACAAGGCTTGTAGGCCAGACCTTTTGCAACTATTCTTCCAGGACATGATTCTTCAGGATATTGGATGCACTGTCTTACCCAGCAGAGTACTTTACTATTCACTTTAAGCACATGTATAACCCCATTTCAATTAAAAGAACTATTTCATTAATCAAAGTTGAGCATATGCTTTAGTTCTTTATTGGGTTGGACCAGAGAACACAGTACCTTTATAGAATTCAATCCCCAAGGCTCAGAGAAGCCACTGCAGCTACCCAGGAGTTCCAGGTCAATGAATCCACAGAATTCAGAGCGCTCTCTGTCCTACTGAGAGAAACTGCAGTAGAGTCCTAAGTGATAAAGAATATGAATTAGGAGCATGACTTAGGTTTAGGGTAAGGATTCTCTTTTCTGCTCTCTATCTTTTCAGTATTGATTGCATTCAGTGCTAACAGAAAGTGGCACTATGTATAACAGAATGTTTACAGAACCCTATCCCCTCCTCCCCTGCTTCCCATTTTTCCCACATCTAGAGTATCAGGTATCGAAGGATCCAGGAATGCTCTGAATAGTTATTTTAGGGAGGCTGTTGTAACCTAGGCTGCAGCCACCCCTTTGTCTTCTGAAAATTTGCAGTGGTGTAATGAAGTTGGGAACTTGTACGTAAAAGTGGAAACTGAAAGGAACAGTATTTGCCTAACAGGTTTGTCTGGAAATTCTATAAGATAGGTGGGAATTCATTTGTATCTTGCTAAAGTCAGTTTCATGTTTATTTTTAGAATTGTCAGTTACGACTGCATCAACAAGAACGATTATTACACTATTAGCCAGAAAGCAGTTATCCACACATGCAACGGAGAAGTTGAATTCTTGCCACTAGATCGCTGGGAACAAGAATATTTATATCACAAAACATTTACCAAGATTCCTATATTTGCTATCTTTTGCAAACTGAAGTCATTTACTGAGTGGAGGAAAAATGTCTGCTCCAAGAAAATCCGTGGATGCCGTAAAGCTCTGCAAGAGAACTTGTTCATCCTTAATGCTGTACGTATTTGCTAATGATGAAGGAAGGAGAAACTAATGTAATTGTTTTAAAGTAACAGTTAAATCCTCCTGAAATGTACACATTGGAGTTCTCATTTCTAGTTGTTAGGAATATGTAGTGTCAGAGATACAGCTAGAGTCATATTTCATTGTTTTCTAAAAATTATCCATCTAAACTTCTTTTGATACTAGTTTTTAGCTTTTACTTGAAAATTTGTTCTTGTTGTTTGGCAGTCCTTGCGACCTGCTGTGCTTAATGTCCAGGAAATGTGCTACCGAATCAGTGACATGGGACTTTGTCGTATTGAGAAAGGTTACACATACACTCTAGAGGAATTTAGAAATGTTCAGTTCAAACAGTTGAATGAGGTAAATAACTTTCATTTGTTACAAATTAGAAGTTTCTTACATGATCTTGTAGACATTAGGTTACGTGGTTCCTAAAATGTATGATAATTTTCAGGTGGCCAGCCGTCTGTCAGAATTCAGAGAGCTAGCAAAGGAAGTTGTCAGAAGTGCATGTCGAACTGCCCTGCTTGAATTTGGATTCACCCCTGATGATTATTCTTATAGAAGACAGAGTGCAGGTACAAATGGAGAAAACCCTTAGGAAATGGCTTCTGGATGTGTAGATTTTTTTGGTTCTATATTTTGGCCCGGAGGTCAGGCCGTTGAACTCTTCTTTGGATGAGTCTAGTATATTTCTGTCAACCTGATAGGAAGCTTGTTATGTGTTGATACACGGTATAGATTTTATTGCCGAAAAGATGCATTTTATTAACATTCTCTTCTTCCATGTCAGTTTAGAATTCTTTCTATTATAAATATTAACTAACCATTCCCAAATCACCTCAAGTCTTAGAACTAGCATTCAAACTTGATTGTCTAGCTTAGAGCTTCATAAAGAGATGCAGCCAACCTTTTCCACAAGTGGAGAAACATGGACTTATTCTAATCTTCAGAGACCGGAAGCTCCATTAATAAAGGCTCTTTTTGAAAAAGCTTGACACCTTAACCTTTTCGGTATTTGATTTTGGGTCCATCCATCCATTGTAAAAGAGCAGCAGATTGATTGATTACTCTTAGCACATACTGATCAAGGGCCAAGCATACCATATGGTTAAGTGATCTTTAAGGCCTTGGAGTGAGAAAAGCACTGTAGCATGTGCTTAACTTTAAATGTGTGAGAAGTTCACTTGAAGTTAATGGATCTTTTTACATTCTTCAGTGCTTTGTTGGGTAGGATCAGGAAGGGTCTGACTATACTGTACCTGCAATACGTTCTGGCATAAGCTTTCCCAAACATGCCTTGGCCATCTGCTCCTGCTTTCACACTCCCGACCTAGAAACACACTGAGGAAGCCTCTCTGGAGTCATCCTTAGGGGCTGCTCTCAAATATACCAGGGGCTGTCGTCTCAAGATTGACTGAACAGGATGTTCTTTCAGGGCGTGTCCCCCCAAGCAGGGA